AAAGTCTTCACCAGATTCATGATGTGTTCTTAAACCCCAGAATTGTTTGCACCTTTGTGCTCTTGAGTGTGTGCAGATTCTCTCCTTACCTAAGAACAAATCCCAAATAAGAAAATATTGGTCAATGTCAGAATCTTCGTGAAAACTGTGTAAGAAGAAATTGGTGAATTGATGAATGAGGCCCACTGTTTTTTTAAGCCACAGAAACAATGAATTCAAAACTGGGTATGAAAACGGTGTGCTTACATCAGAATCACTTCATTTCACAAATCATGTTACACATACAAGGACTCTGTATTGGTGAGTGCAGACATGTATGACATGTAACTTACTAAAGTAACCAGACATGTATACAGACTATTAACTTAAGAGAAAGAGAAAATAAAAATAAACAGAATAAGACAAGAGAGTAGATATTTTGTAAAAAGAATGTCATATTAAAGGGAGGAAAATTAAGCTTTCCATAATAAGGGCCCTGTAAAACAATAAATAAATAAAACGATACCTCGGCTACTCTATTACCTAATTAATACGTTTTTTGCTCAGACCTGACCCTTCACCCTTGATGATTTGCATTTATGTGTGTAAGCTGTCACATAAATGATCCATGTACAACATCAATGAACAACCAAAACAACGAGTGAACGAGCAGCACAAGCCTTCATTGGCAAGACCTTTAGCTCTGACCAGCTCTCAGTTCATCATTAAAGAAGAAGGTGAAAAAAACAGATGTTTTAATAATTCTGCAGCGTTTAAAGTTTTCTGCTGCTGCAATGCTGTAAATACAAGGCGATGATGGTGATACATGCATTTACAGTCAGGGGTTTGAGAGAGGAGAGTCATGCATACTGGTTTGATCATACTATAAGACTGCAAGGCCTTAAATCAGATACGCATCTGATCTTAGACCACATAGGAAAGTCACTCATATTTGATTTGTGCCATTTCAAACTGGTCATTTTAATATAGCTCTGGTTTAAACAGATGAAACAGGTGCAATATACCAGACATATTTATCAGGGACAAGTCTGTTCAATAATACCTCTCCATTCATCACAGAAGCAGGAACATTCTAGCTTTAAACTAGGAGTGCATAACATTATTTGTGATTATACCATTATATTAGTATTTGCAACAGTAATGCAGAAGACTGCAGTAAGCAAAACAGTGAGAAACCACACCATCCTCAGATGTTCCAGATGAGTTTCTGCATGTTCAGATAAATCAAGACTTTCACATGATCCAACAAGTTCACCAATGTGCTTTAGTACACTGCAAGGCATTGTTACAATTTAAGAGCAACACAATGACAAGATATGTATTATAGAATTATTAATTAATAGTTATGTGGAAATTTTAAATTTGACATTGTCAAACTGCGAAATCAGCTACTTGAATTATAGCCTAAGTTTTAAATAAGGAAATGTACCCTAACATCATAGAGCTTGTGAACTGCCTTTTGCTGAGTTTGACCAATAAGAACCAACCAGCACCCTCATAATGTGTACCTGGCCCAAAGACAAATAAGCGGGCATCCGACACAGTAGTTCAGCATTCAAGAATCAACCCAAAAAAGATGCTGGTCATCTTGGCAAGAAAACAGGCATGGACCTCAATGTTTGGAAAATGTGCTATTTAAATCGCAGTCACAATAACAGTCAGAAAAATCGCAGTTATTTTCCCCAAATCTATTTTGTCCATATCGTTTAGCCTTACATCTTCCAGTGGAATCCTGGGTCAGTTCACTATGCCTTGTATCCAGCTTCACAGCTCATTAAATGAGAGTGATTTTAGTTCAGAAGAGGGCAGTACTGGCAGCTGCTTAAATAAAAATAAACAGCTCTAATGATATATGATAAGAACTTTCACTTTTGCCTCCTTTCCTTTAACTCCCTTTCTGGTAAGAGTTTACATGTCCTGCAAGGGTTTAGAGAAACACTTAGGAGTGGGCCGTATGGTCTGACACATAGTCATACACCAATTCAGCAATACAGTGGAATTTACTTTTGTAAGGGTCCCAAGTCAGCAACACAGTCCAAGCACGTGTACACACACACACGCGCACACACACACGCACAAAGGGAGGTCCTGTTATTGCTGGCTTCCAGTGGTGAAAACAATAACGTTGCAGCAGATTAATGAAGTGACTCCATTATCGCCTCCATAATTACACAAAGCAGCTTCACAGGAGGTTTCGAGTTAAAGTACACAGTTTTACACAAAAGCTTCATTAACCAGACATGAAAACTCATGAGCAATTAAAAAAAGTTCAGAAAGCAAATCTCATCGCCCCTGGAAGAAACCTAGAAAGACAGTCCTGGTGAACTCTGAGAATGAAATGTAGGGATATTTGCTGTGAAATAATTCAGTTCATTGAGTTTAACAACTATGCAAATGCAGGTCAGGTCCAGAAATGTTACTGTTTTCTAGTTATTTTAAAATTCAATTCAATTATATATCAAGGTGAAACTAAAAATTGTGCTCTTAATTTGTGCTCTGCTGTTTCCGTAACAATATCTCAGTTCTGAATGGTCTATAAAAATTAAATACTACATCTGTAGGTTGGATGAATAATGACCGTGAACTGCTACTGTACTGTGTTTAATGGGATTTTCTCTCAATTGCTGCATAATTAAGCCAATCAATCATATGGATATACAGATCCAATAAAGTTTATTTATATTATTCTGATTGTGATACATACAGACACCTCTACTTTCATGCCATATAATGAGCAGAACTGTATGCTTTATCAATATTATATTTGAGGGATAGATTTGGATGATAGTGAAAGTTAAAATAAAACTAGGCTGTTTCTGGCACTAATGGAGGAAAATGTAAAAGTAACAGCACGCTTGTATCTACTGAAAACAAATTAGGTGTAGAAACAGCTTTGAACTGAACCCTTAATTAAATCTCAGTATTCAAAATAAATCTATTTGTTCATTTACATTATTTTTTAATTAAAAGGTGCATTGATGTGTATCAAGTTGGAGACACTTGCTCCACACACACTTTCCACTCCCAATAACAGCTGACCACCAGTGGTGACCGACTTAAGAGATTTGCAATTTTAACAGAAAAGGCAAAAACGGTTCTGAGGCTCTTAACCAAATTCCTGATGGAGATTTCCAGCGAATAAGCCACAGAGGCATGTGACTGAGGTGCCACACATACAGTCAAGATTATTACTGGAATTAACACCCCTGGAGGCCCAAAGTTTGAGGTGGGGGCTGGTTCCACCTGCATTAGTCAGGACAATGGGCAAACCCAGACTTCACACACGCTTTAACTACTTCACAAACTAAGTAAGAGTTCCCTGGACCCTGGACATCAGACTGTTGGCTATTTGCTTTGCTCCTGCTCAAACAGGTTAGAACCGGTCCATTCAAACAGACAGCATGACGTAACAGACCAAGGGTAGGTGGAACCTTGGCTAACCGGGTCCTTTTTTTTAAGGACTTGGCTCTCCAAACGGTTATCATTTCTGTCTAATCTCACTAATTCCACTGAGTTTACCTGGCACTGCTTCTAATTTGGAAGACTAAAGTTGTTTCTCAGTCACTGCAGGTCATAATCTTAGCCTGTCCCTATAGTAACGGTTTATGTGTCCACTGAAATTAGGAAAACAGCCAATGCTTGAGAATGGTTGGAATGGTGACACATGGTCATACGCCAGAGGAGCTTACTGTAAGAGCTGCCTCAGGTCCACAACACAGTCCAACACAGGCACACACACACACAAACAGCAATTTTGCCCATACAGTACAGACGTTACCACAGATGTCAAGGGTAAAATCTAGTCTAAGCCTACTCTGATACATGTCACAATAATTTTCCTACTTTCAATAAGTTTTGCGCTGCATTGTCAACCACCTCCTAACACTCAGAGAACATCTAAAACAGACTTCTTCGACTCATACAGGTGAGCGACTGCCTGGTGCTTTGTAGAGTAAAGGAAAGAACCATCCCATCTTCTATTACTGTGAAAATACTGACAGCCGCATCCTCAGGAAAGCCTGCTCATGGCACATGGGATGAATCCCAGCTGAAAAGTACTATAAAGCGCTTATACTGGGTTCCCCTGTAAATGCAGCTAATCTACTTCATAATCAGAAAATTTGTGACAACAAGGCAGAATGCCAAGACTGTTATAAGAAAAGCAAAATGCAATTACAAAAGTCTGGCAGCCAGGCTAAATTAATCAACTCTGCAACTAGGGCTGTCACTATTAATTATACAAGTAATCAATCTATCTACAGATTATTTTGACAATCATCAATGAGTAAACACAGCGTCAAACTATAAACACTGATTTAACAACAACAAACAATGAATTCGCAATTCACTGAGAAGGTAATCTTTCTTTTCTTTTTGCTTTTTAAATCGAGTAATCCTGACAGTCCTACTTGCAACATGTTCTGAACATCCAAAGTGGTGATTTCCAACCCTAGTCCTGGAGTCCCCTGTTCTGCACATTTTAGTGTTTCTCTGCTCCCAACACACCTGATCCAACTCATCAGCTCATTAACAAGCCATTGCTGAGTTATATTGGGTGTATTAAAGCAGGGAAACACCAAAATATGCAGAACAGGGGCACTTCATGATCAGGGTTGGGTACCTGTGATCCTGAGTAGCATGTGATCACATGAAATTCAGCAGAAATGGATCAAGCATTTCTAGCTTTCACACTCTTCAAGGAAGGCAAGAGACTCCATTGCTCAGCCATCTGCTCTGACAGCATGACACTCCGCATCTTACAACAAGAAAGAATATCTGGATATCTGGAGTACAAGAAATGTGGACTAAACTGTTTGCTTCACGCTTATTGTTGTATAATTCTAGATACTAGGAATGAGGCCATCATATTTATCTTGCTACATATTCACCTTTTAGAAACTGCTCCACTATAACTACAGATTAGGTATCCACATACAGTACTGCGCATTATTTCATTTCCAATCAAAATGACCATTAAGTACAAATTACTCATATATACTCATTTTTTAGCATAAGTGAAAAAACGAAAACATATATTAAAAAGAACATTCCACAGACACTTCAACACCTAAATATATATTTTAAATTTTCTGTATTTAGTGTGTCCACCTTTTGCCTTTATTACAGTGTCTATTCTTTTTAAAGAAATCTGCAGGAATATTTTTCCACACCTCCAAAGTTCAGTCTTAGAAGTTCAATCCACATAATCCCAAACACTTCAATGATGTTGAGGTCTGGACTCTGGGGTGGTCAGTTCATTGTTCTGAGAACACCAGCAGCTTCTTTATTTGATTGTACATTTTCTATTTTTTGTCTGTCTCCTTTTCTCAGCAACGGCTTCTTAACAGCTACAGCTCATAGCGCTGAGTTCTCAGGTCTTCTCACAGTGGAAGGATGGACAAAAACATCTGTAGATTTTTCAGATCTGAAGCAAAAGTGAAGCTTGATTTTCTCTCAAAGATGAAAGCTTTAAGTACTGTCTATCTTGTGGTAACAGTTTTGGTGCTCTACCAGGTCTTGTATGGTTGTTAGGAGTCCCAGTTTCTCTAAATCCTTCAATCACTTTCTAAATTTCAGGTTTGAAAAGTCCTTTTTTCCCCCCCACTTATGTTCCCTTTCCTGCCCCCTTCTGTATGCAAGTTGATTGGCTTATATGCAATCTCCACAAAACATCTTCTGAAAAATGAATCATTTGCATTTAATGGCCGTTTTGACTGGAAATGAAATAAATTAAGGGTGGTCTCTATCATTTACATGGTACAATAATACACATAAAAGGTCTTTTAGACAAAGGACGGAATCACTTTCAAAGAAAGGGGGAAATAACACACTTATAGTACACACAGAGCTAAAAGCCCAGGATGACTTCTGGGCTTTGAAGGGAGAAAGAGAGTATTTGTGTTATGATGAATAAACTTCCTCTTACACATGCTGACCTACTGTGTAGAATGTGGTTTCTCAAAAGTGTCGAAACATAAAGATCACAGTAAATGATCATAATGCTGTGCTACTCGGAAACTGGGGCCATAACTGAGGGGATTTGTTTTTATTTTGTTTTTAGGCTGCACACATTAAACAAACTGCATGTGAGGACGAAAGGCCATATCTTCATAGATTCTGAAATATGTTTTTCAGTGTAGATAATGCAATATTGCTTTTGCTAGGCCTATGGTCAGTCTGTACCTGAAATCAAAAAAATAAAAATTTTTAAAAGGTTTGAGTACCATCACACAGCATGACAATCAAACTGAAACTATGCCGGGTTAACAAATCTATATGTGAACGGTGAAAGACTCATAAGATGCAGTTATGATTTAAACACGTTATATAAATATTCTTGGTGGTATTTACTGCAAGAATATGCTATCCCGGCACCGAGGCCATTAATAATACTTTAAAACTACCTTGAATTACATCAGACATGGCAAGAAATTCCAAAACCTCCCTCCCACCCTCTCTTTAAGTTTTCAGGGCGGGCAGCACTCTGACAGCTCTTGTAAAATTTTATCTTTCTATGTCCTATGGCAGTATATAAAATTAATGAGACAATTAATCGGGTTATACAAAAAAAAAAAAAAATAGTGTAAAGAATTTAGGGAAGAAGTTTATGTTCGCACTGGCCTACTTCTTCCAACAGCCTTAAAGGGGAATTCCACCATTTTTCCGAATTTCAGAATAATTCAGTCCCTGAGACGTAAACAGTCATTTAGAGTGGTTTGATATGAAGTGGTTCATTGTAGAGAACATTACAGACTCTGATTTCTTTACAGTGGTCATAGGAATCAGGGGTCACAATGTCTACACCACAAATATAGCAAAAAAAATTTCTATCCAAAACCACCAGGGAATCTACACGTCTTCTGAGTTATGTATGGTGAGGGAGCCTTCACATACATTAAATTTTTCAGACGTCTGTTCCTATCACCACCACTGTGAACAATTCTGACTTTGCAAGTTTCTCTAGAACGGAGCATTTCACGTTAAACCACTCTGAATGACTTTCTACATCTCAACCATTTAATTGTGCGGAATTTCTGAAAAATCGGTGGAGTTCCCCTTTAAGCGCCCACACCCTGTTTTAATGGGGACTGCTGCTGAAGAACTGGGGCTTCTCAAGCTCGGCAAAAATGCTGAGGGGAAAATAAAAATATCTCAACTTGTGAATTTAAGATAATTTTGAGAATATAACTCTAGCTTACAGCACATTTTCCACATGTTCAGACTGTTAGTCGTAAGTAACTTCTAAGTGCTGTTAGCTTCCTAATGCAACAGTTGGTTGTTTGGGCTAGTTTGAGTGGACGCGGCTCTCTGCTCTGACAAACGACAACAACGTCGATTAACTTTCACTGTAAAAGTGCTTACCTCGGAGTAAACGTATGAAAGAATACAAATAATGTACTTTTCTCCTCTCCTTCCTGCTCTCAGTTTCTTCCAGGCCAGTCCAGGGGATCCGGAAACCGCCGCAATTCCGCCCTTGTCCCCACAATGCCTGTTTGAACGTGTAGCGCCGGAGTGAAGAGCAACAACCGCCTTTTTGGCTCTTAAACAGGCGCTGAGCAGACGGAGTTAAAAGGCGGTTTAGAGCCAAGATGGCGGAGAAGGACCACAGTGTCAGTGAACGGTCCGTGCAGGCTGTTCTGTGGGCGTCAACAGGCGAGACCGAACATGTTCAGAAAGTAGCTATAAATACGAGTATAAATATACGAGTGTCAATAATAGTGACACACGATTTTTCCCTTTGAATATTTAATCTTTACTGAAAAGTTTGACTTCTTCCATACAGTACTGCAAAAGTCTAAGATATATAAAAAAGCGATATATGGACAGTTCCCGCTTATTTTCTCTGAAACGAAACACTAATATTGTAATAAATGTAACATTAATGCAAAAGTATTGATTTTATGTGAGTCAAAGTGTTCTCCTAACCGGTTCTAAAACACTCGAGAAAGCCCAGTATTATTTGTTGTAATCATCCAGTCATCCTGTTTGTCTCAATCAAACCTCCATTAAAATTGACTTTACATTAAAAGAACCAACGCTTTGTTCTTTTAACTAACATGATTGTTAGTTTTTATTGCATTATTCTTTGTTACTTTTTATTGCATTATTCTTTGTTTGAATTAATTATAATGCTATAATGTGTTTTTACTAGCAAAAACACACTTATTGCTCAGATGTTTGTCAACAGTTTGTTTAAATGCCTGAGATTTTTCCACAGTACATTATTTTCTCACATACAGTCGTGTGCAAAAGTTTAGATGCCCTGGTTAAATTACATGTTTTGTTGATTTTCTAAGTGAAAATAAGTTAACACATCCTGTACAGAGAAAACATTTCTGCACATTTTAATGCACAATTTCTGTTTATCTGCTAAATTTAACATGTTGGAGGGAAAAAAATAAAATGTGCCTGTGCAATACACATTTTATAATTTGTTGTTTAGTTGTTGTTTGTTTGTTTTTTGAATAAAATTTGAATTTGCAGACAAATTGCATATTTAAGTGTGTTGTCTATAGAGAATGTGTGCAAAACATGTAATTTGATCAGGGGTGTGCAAATTTTTGCATATGACTGTATGGTCCTAAAATGCAAGCAGTCGTTATTTAATTGTGTGCATTTTATGATTTTCAGTGTAAGATTAAGCTCATAAACAATAGATCATTTTTCCACAACTCATCTTTACTAAAACCTGACAATAATTCTGGAGAGCACTATTGCATAAGGTGCTAGCCCTCACATTTATTGACTGGTCATTCCACTCAAATCTCACCTAATCTCTGTTTAATTTTTGAGTATTGTTTTATGTATCGTCAACAGCAATGCAGTTATTGGATATTTGCATTTTTTATTCTATACATTTGTAATCAAGTGAATAAGAGAATAAATATAAAATTAGAAGTCACAATATGATCTAAAAGTAGTCAATAAAAGTGGCAACTTGATAGCTCCATATATATAATTGAAATCAACTGACAAAATTTAAGACTAATTTTCAAAAGTGAATTATTTAACTGGCCTTCTAGAGGCCTAGTAACCATAGCAGTATACTATATCAATTTATGTTCAGCATATATAAATATGTGTGTATGCACGATCTGCACTAAACTAAACCAATTCAAAATATCTCTTTATTACATCTGAAAAAATGTGATTTAAATCAGCTTAGTAAAGCTAAATATAGGCATACAACTTTTATATATATATATATATATATATATATATATATATATATATATATGTGTGTGTGTGTGTGTGTGTGTGTAAAGAAATGACAGTTTTGTACATATTGTACAGTTATATTCACTTTTTATTGTACAGTAGGCTACAGTATGCTGCTAGCTGAGGTAATCTCTCTCTCTCTCTCCCGGCCACCCACCTCCCTCATTGTTTAACCGCTCAGCTTCCCTCGCTTCTCATTGGTCAGCAGCAGGATGCGCGCCGTGCTGATTGGCTGAAAGTTTTGCTTTGGTTCGAAGCGCCCCTCCTCCTCCTCTTCCTCCTCCTCTCGGCGACCCCTCGCTCCTCTGCTATTATTCTCCTCCTGTTGCTCCTCCAGAGCAGTGAGAGGAAAGTCCGTTAGTTAGCAGGACGCGCGGAGCGGTGATGAACTCCACCTGAGCGACACACTGCTTTTATTTCGCTTCACTTTCAGTCAGAAAACGACCGTTTCTTCTCGGAAACAGAGCGAGAGCGGATTCATTCCTCTGGAGAAGCGGAGTTTTTTCCTCCCTCACAGATATCTAAGCATTAGGAAAGATGGTCTCGGCCGGTCTGGAGATCCTCGGCCTGACGCTGTGCGTGGTGGGCACGCTGCTGGAGATGGTGGCCTGCGGTCTGCCCACCTGGAAGGTCACGGCGTTCATCGAGGCCAATATCGTGGTGGCGCAGACCATCTGGGACGGCCTGTGGATGTCGTGCGCCGTGCAGAGCACGGGCCAGATGCAGTGCAAGGTGCACGACTCGGTGCTGGCCCTCGCGCCCGACCTGCAGGCGGCGCGCGCGCTCACCGTCGTCTCGTCCGTGTTCGGCGTGCTCGGCCTCACAGTGGTGGTGGCGGGCGCGCAGTGCACCAACTGCATCCGCGATGAGCGCCTCAAGGCGTACGTGGTGGGCACCGGCGGCGCGCTGTACATCGCAAGCGGCGCGCTCGTGCTCGTGCCCCTCTGCTGGATTGCCAACAGCATCATCTCGGACTTTTACAACCCGCAGGTGCCCACCGCCAAGAAGCGCGAGATCGGCGCCGCTATCTACATCGGCTGGGCGGCCACAGCGCTGCTGCTGCTCGGCGGCTTCATCCTTTGCTGCTCGTGTCCGTGCAAGTCCTCCGCGGGCTTCTCCGTCAACTACGCGCCCACTAAAAGATCCACGGCCAACGGGGACTACGACAAGAGGAATTACGTCTAGGGGCCGCGACGAGTCCTTTTATATTCTTTGGCACCTGTGCATTTGTTTCTTAAGTAAAAATTAAATGTAAATGACTTGTTTGTGTTTTTTTTAATGAAGCGTCACGGACTTTGCTACTACTGAGAGAGGCTCATACGGACTCTCATATGGACGTTTTTTACGCTCGGACTCTTTTTTAAAAAATTTGTTTTGGTCTACGACTTCAGTTTTGGAAGGACTGAAAAGAGAGAAAAGCAGCGTTCATTTTAGGTACCTTCACAGCAAAATCGCCAGTGGTGAATGAAAACCTTCTCTTTGGATCATTAACTATAGGGCCAGACCCAGATTAACCTTAAACCTAGACTACAAAAAGATTTTCCAGTGGTGATTCACCATTGAAACGGCAATTTTAGACCAAGACTAGGTTTAACTGTAGTCTTGAAACTTGCCTTTAGTGTTCATCTAAGTAAAGGTGGACACAAATGAACACTGGAGTAGTTACCTGCAGAGAAAAACAACTGTGTAGGTGACTTCAGTACTGTATGTTCATCGTTTGTAATTCAACGCTGTAAATGTTAATTCAGTTCTGTGTTAACTGAACAAAGATGTAGGCTGTGCTTAATACTGTTGATTCGATACTATGGGCTGGTTTCCCGGACAAGGATTAAGCCTAGTCCTGGACTACGCAGGATACTGAATGGAGATTCTCCACTCAAAGGAAAATGTAGTCCAGGAGTAGGCTCATCAACACTTAAGGTGTTCATTCAACAACGGGATTTTGCTGTGTTGCACTCAGTAGGCCAAAATCATATATGTAGATTTAAGCTTCAGCTACTTTTATCAGATTTCTTTACCATTTTCAGAATGTCTTATTATTTCTATCTACTTATTTGTGGTGGACGGTGGGGCAGTGAAGGCAGAGGGTCTGTTGAAAATGGACTGTGTTCAGGGTTAGGGCGAACAGACTTCCACCCCCAACACGAACCACCGCTGTGGACACCGCTGGATAAGACAGCAACTCCTGACTAGTTGAACAAAACCCTGCATACTGAGGTGCTCAGCAAAGCCGCAAGTGCTCTAAAGGACAGTCCAGACCAAGCAGGGCCAGCGTGGAATTAACATTGCTGGACACCTGTTGTTGGTGCCTTGTAATGATGATCATTTTGTCTGAACCTTTAATAAGACCACCTGTGCCAAAAGCTGTCTGCGGTAGTCTACATCTAGTTTGACTGAAACGGTTATTTTTATATCTTTCAGAATGGTCTTCTGTGTTAAGTGTTTTGAATATTGTTTTGAATAAACATTTATTATGATACTAAATGTGACGATTTATTTGTCCGGGGAAAAAAAAAATAATCGCCCCAAAAAGCAAGAGCTACCACAACAATCTTTAAACATCTTTAATGTCCTTTGCGGATAAGCTGTTTTTCTTGGAAAGAGATTTTGAGTAGCCTGGTTGCAAAAGCAGCTGCTGTTCTACCTCGCCTGCTTGTGAAGTGTTTGGGTTCTGGAAACGTCTTTCACTACTCCCAACACCCCACCACCCCCCCTCTCCCCAAAACACACACCCACACACACACACTCCTTCCCACCAACGGATTGTCCTCGCGTGATTGCTTGACCATCACGAGTCTTAATTAGACTCCCTGAATGCTTTCACCTAGCCCCAGAGTGGGGTTACACTCCGGTAGGCAGCCAATTACAGCCACAGTAAGATTTTCTAAAATAATACTTACTTGTATTAGCTGCCTAAAAGAAAAGCATAGGAAAATGCCTTGTTGGATTAAAATTAGCTTGCATTCAGGAATGGTTCTGTGCTTTTTGAGAGCAAAAGCAGTGTGTCTTTTAAATTGCAGTGCGCTTTGTTCGTCGCACTTTTGGACATATCCAAAGCTCCATTGTTTAAGGCTCTTAGTTGGTCATATGCCTGCTTAAAGCACGTCAGTCACACCAAAACAGCTTGGAGACGGTGAACTCCTTCACCTTGCACACGTGCCTAAATATGAGACACGTTTCAGCATTGAATTCAACAAAATGCAGTTTTAAGATGAATGCATTAAAGTCACTGCTTCTCAATAGGCCTTAAAGCATATCATCCAATTAGGCCACTCTTGTTT